GCATGTTCTCCCTGTGTCAGCGTGGGTTTCCTCCAGGTGCTCCAGCTTCCTCCCACAGTCCAAAGACATGCAGGTTAATTGGTGACTCTAAATTGTCCGTAGGTGTGAATGTGAGTGTGAATGGTTGTCTGTCTCTATGTGTCAGCCCTGTGATAGTCTGGTGGCCTGTCCAGGGTGAACCCTGCCTCTCACCCAGTGTCAGCTGGGATAGGCTCCAGCCCCCCCACAGCCCATAACTGGATAAGCCGTTACAGAAAATGAATGATTAGCTGTAAAATGTGAGTTTGCTCAGGTTGGCAGGCGGTGCTTCGTTTAGGCTCTGCTGTTGTAAACATGGTGACCGGGTCACAAACTTTTTCATTTTACACTAAAATATGCTTCTGAAAACACTTGATTCATATTTGATGAGTGCTGCCTAGTTTGACAGCACCTCACAAACAGTGACTGACATAATTGACAGCTGCTTTTGAGACTCCTCAGCTCTGATTGTTTGTTTTTGGTGGGCCGTGGTAGAATCCATCAAATGCCAACAGAAGCAGTAGGAAGGCAAGGAACTTTTTTTTTTTTTTTTTTTTGTTAAGACCGCCTGTCTCGTACGTCTTTCAGAATATAGTGAATATGACAGTTGTTTTCATAAAAGTTACCAGCTGTAGCTTTAAGTGTGGTTATTAAAGAGATGTGACCAACATTCTAAACCAACTAAATATATCTTAAACATGTCTGTACCACATTTTTTGTTGCGTGTTGTTTGACAATTTATGCCCACATAAATATGTCTAAGCTAAAACTGGATATCAATATCAGCCAAGCTCTTATCGTCATCTGTGGCGTTGCATGCAGCCTTTAAAAAGCCCTCTCAGGTAGTGAGTGTGCTCCGCCCTCTGACTGCTCCTCTCTCCTCTGAAGGATCTTCAACGAGGCATACGTGCCTCACGGTCTGAAGGTGGTGCAAGCCAGCGCCGAGCAGGGCCTGCGGGGCCTGATGGACCTGGAGCGCCGCTGGAGGCAGCACTTCCTCACCACCATGCAGCCTCGCCACCTCCCTCCTCTCTGGTCCGTCGACCACAACCACAGCAAGTTCCTCCGCAAATACGGAGAGGACCTGCCCATCAAACTCAACTGACCTTCGTGGACCACGAGCAGTTACCAAACCAGAACAGAAAACTGAAATCTTCTCATCCGCCGGTTAACATGCTGGGTGGATTTGAAACTTTCCACAGCCACTCAATTTCACACGCCAAATCGCTTTTTTGTAGTGAGCAGATGACTGAACGCATCTACTAGCCGGGACCGAAATGTTACCAGCATGTTCATGTTTCCACAACGAGATTGTGAGTGAACCCACTCGATCTGCGATGGACATTTGACGACGTTCTCTGGTGACGTGTACCTGAGCGCCAGTGAGACGCTGCTAGGTTTCCACCTGCAACTTAAACAGAGACTCCACGAGTGGAACGAAAATCCAGCACTGAATCTGAAATACTAACATCATGTGATTGCATATGGACACTTTTTTAATCATGGAAAATGTATCATTATTTATGGAAAAAGTTAAAACTATTGAAATTTATAAACTGATTTTTAGAAGAAGCTGCAGCCTGCTCTTAATTCCCCCTAAATTTAGTTACCACCCTGCCCCCCCCCCCCCCTGCAGGTTTGCAGCTATCAGTCTGGGAATAAATGCTTTGCAGAGAGAGGTCCATTTTAACATGACCTTTAATTCTTCGGCACTCCACCCTGCTTTTGTTTCAGTCTGTTGTCTGTTTTAAGTCAATAGATGAAAGTTTCTGAGAAGCATCTTGAAATCAGACTTCATCTTTGCTCCTTTAAAAGAAGAGTTTGGCCTTGAGGTGCCTGAATGTGCTCCATCTCAGTTTTCTGCAGGGGGAGACGAATGCTAAACGCAGTGAAGTTGGCTCATTTAGTTGATCATTTAAACGCCTGATGTTCACGTCCTGCTGCCGATGCTCCTGATGGTTGGGACACCTTCCTGGCTCGTGTTTTAATGTGCCTCTTAATCCCCACACCTGACCGGAGCCTCGTCGCAGCGTCAGGACGCGACCTCGTTTCAGTTTACAGCGACGTCTTTACACAGAATCCAAACTGCACAGTGAAGAAAAGGTGCCAACTCTAATGTGATTAAGAAAATTACCTTAAAACTAAACACCCCCCGCCCCCGCCCCTCTTTTGCAAGGCATATTAATTATTGCGAGCGTGATGGATTTATTTACAATACAGCTGCTTTGTCTTTATTCATATTTTCCTGGATGTAAGCCCTGAAGCTGTTTTTGTTTTCCTGAATTGTGAATGATTCAAAAAAATAAAGTCTTGTTTGTATTAATCTTGTGTGACTTGTTTTGGTGAGCACACATCTTCACAGTTAAAAACACACAACCACATTCACTGTTTGTTTTTGTTTTTTTTTTATTTTTTACAAAATCACAGTTTAATAAATAGTCTGTAAAAATGAGTACAAAAGCGGTTTTCTTAACATTTCATATATGAATCACTCGTGACTTTCAGGTCAAAGGAGTCTTTAGTTGGATTTTTTTTGTCAGGAATGACATTTTCTTTTTTTTACAATCTAGTTTTGCTGAATTAAGGCCTCTTGATTTTGGCATCAGAACAATCTGTCAGTCAAATGTTTTGTATCTGAATTAGTGTAGAGTTATGAGCTCCCCTGGTTTCACAGTTCAGTCATAAAATAAATAAATTAAAAAATACACATTTACAAATAAATACCAAAATGGCTCAACATGCAGATGTCATCCCTTTGTCCTAAGATGCTGACGAAACTAAACACATTTCTAATGGTCAGTGTTTGACACTGCAGACATGATGCAACAGTAACAATGGCACATGAGGCTGCTTCATCGAAGGGGATTCCATCAACGGGAGAAATTATTCTTCCTTCATCTCCTTCAGTCCTTTTAAAGTATTAAAGAGAATAAATGCGGGCAAACGTTGGGAAATGATTCCTGAAAAATAAACATTTTGGTGGAATTCCCCTTTTAAGAAGTTCAGGTGACAAGGAGTGCAATCCTGTGTTGTGAAAGACACTCTGACATCTTTACTGCATTACAGTGAAACCTCAGAGGGCGGACGCACACCTGAAGATTAAAGTCGGTTAAAGGAATAGACAGTTTGGGAAACATGCTAATTCACACTGGTGTTAGTTACTAAGACTGCTAGAGCTCTCATGTCCGTTTGTCCCGCATGAAGCTAACGGTACTGCCAGTGGCTAGCTGGTTAGCTTAGCATAGAGACAGGAGGCAGCCAGAACACCACTGTCGACAGGTAACAAAATCCTGCTGCCATTTCACTCATTTACAAGTTACGTCCCATTTATTTAATCCAGACCATAGACTGTGTTAAAGAAGCGGACATGGCAACCGTGACATCACCCATTGGTTCGGAAGCTACCGCTTTGAAGCTATCACTCAATTGAATGGCGTTAGTAGCCACATATGAGTCAGAAGGATCCTGCTACAGCTACTAGTAGGCTCATAATGCCATTATCAGCCCATTAAATGGCCGTGTTTATTGTCAGGCAGCCTCTAGTTGTCGTGGTAATGTTGATGGAAGCAATGTATGGTAGTTAACGGCAAGAGATAAATAACTTGTGCCATAAATTACACGTTTATCCATCTAAAAGATAATTTTGCAAGTCAAGGAACTTGCAGTTTATCGTGGTACCATATATTTTTGTGTAAAACGGCGAACGACATTTCTCGTCACGCACAACATACATTCCTAGGGTCTCATTTATAAAACAATACCTAGGATCTACAATTTCTACAATCAGGCTTCCACCTCATCATCTACATCACTAATTTCCAGTCTCTAAAATGTTCGTAAGCATGGGTGAAAATTGATCCCATCAAATCAGTTTTTATAGATCACAACTTTTGCATGGGAAGTGGCGCACGCCTCTTTCAGGCCTTGTTTTGTGAGCACGCAATTTTTATAAATGATACCCCTGGCTTTGTATCACTTAGGAAGTGAAAGAATATGCAAGACCCATATGAAAAACAAAGGCATTATAGCGTCAGCAAGAGACAAAGTTATGGCCTCACTTACAGGACTTGTGTAGTCTCTCTAATTACGTTTTTTACAGTCTTATACTGAAGCAGTTTTTCTACTTGCAAATTATCTTTTCATCTTGGGTGGAAAATATCATACCTGTAATTCATGGCACAATTTAAACAGGATCAAAAAGAAAAAACAAGTCTCTCGCCATTAACTAGCGTACATATTTTTTTAGAAATGAGGTCCCACATTGGTCCATTGGGCATTTGCCTCTCTATAGCGAGATATAGGTTTGTTACCCTACTTTAGAAAAGTATTTATTTATACCCAAACCCTGATCTGTTTTTCTAACCCTTACCACATTGTTTGAGCACCTAAATCTAACAAAAGTGAAACCTAATGAAACTACTCCTAATGGCAACTGATACTGGCCATTTAATGGGCTGATAACAGTGTTACAAAGCTACTAGTAGCTTCAGTAGGACCCTTCTGACCGATTTATTTTCAGCTGATAACACCCATTCAATCAAGTGATGACATTCAAAATGGGTGCAGTGTTTGAAGCCTCGAGTCTGACATTTTGGCCGTCACCATCTTGTCTTTTATTGGAGCTGGAAGTGACCATATTTGGATGATTGGGTGTAGCTATGGAGGATACACATTGCTATGCCTCTATCGTGACTGACAGGTCGCCCTGATGGCAACTTGTCAATCACAAAGGAGCACAGCTGTTTTTATTCTACATGGGACTATAATTTACTGAATAACATCATGTTGTAATGAAGAAGAAAGAAGAGAAACTAGTGATTGAGACCATAAACACGCGAGGGAATGGTTTACTGAGGTAAAAAATCAAGTGAAAAACGGTCATTTTTTCATTGACTTCTATGAAATAAGACTTTCTGCAACCATTGGAGTCGCCCCCCGCTGGTCAATAGAAAGAATGCAGGTTAAAGGTGCTTCCACATTAGCTTCACTTTCAAGAACCAGGGGCTACGTCCACTTCTTTGACACAGTCTATAATCCATACAAAAAACAAAGTATGCACTATTTACTGAAATCTTGTGGTCATCATGCTGTTGCTAGGCAACAACTGATAAAAAAAAAATTAGTTTGAAATATAATTCGCTGTAACACTACATCATGTTGTAGCCATGTTTGGACCGAGCTAGGCTAGCGGTTTCCCCATGTTTCCAGTCTTTATGCTAAGCTAAGCTAAGCTAACTAGCTCCTAGCTTTGTGTTTAGCATGCAGACATGAGAGCGGCATCAAAGTGTATTCCCCAAAATATCAAACTAGTGTTTTATGAATCTTCCAGTGTGTGTCCACCCTGTACTACTGCAGAGGATTTCAACACTAAATTACTGCATATTATAACTCCTTTTGTTCATTCCAACAAAAGACAATTTTACATATTAAAAAAAAAAAACATGACAATGCAATTCAAAGAAATGAGAAGGCCTGTTTGATTTAGCCCCAAATCTCTGGAAGTTTTTTTTTGTTCTTTCTTTCTTTTCGAAGGGACGAGTTACTTTCACATTTCAGAACACCAGATGTTACAGTATTTAAAACACCACATTAATGATCTTTTCTCTGCAGATTCCATTTCCTTAAAGGTACACTGAATTTACAATAAGGCATATTCTAAACGTTTTCCCAATTCGCAGGTCAAACCTCGACCACTAACTGCATCTTCAAGAGCTAAAATTTGAAGCACATTTTTCAATTTATATTACAAAAATCAAAGACAATTTGCAGCTGTAACATTTTGACCCTTAAGGTAAAATCCATCTACAAAGAACATTTTGCACGAGTTTCATGAGGGAGAGTCATACGACCGACACAGATGATCTCAACTCTCTTGTGTATTTTCATATGAACAGATTTCACATCTTCACACAGACCGATAAGATTGTCACATTAACATAAGATGCTGCTAAAATCATATTGCTCCACGATGGCTGCATGAAAATAATAAATCTTCGGCTTAGTACAGCAGGCTTCAAACCAAGATGTTAATAAATAAATAAAGAGAGTTTTAAATGTGAACATGTGATGATTTCTCTAGCTTTTTGGTCAAAGGCTGTTTGATGATGCAGAGGCTGTACAGTGTCTGTCGTGGAAAACAACTGCAGATTTGGTGTTTTTATTTCTAAGACTGGACGTTTGCGTGAACGTTTATGCCATTAAGTGACCCTCAGACACAGATTCTACACTACACGGGCTTCGATGAGAAAACGATCATCCCTCGTTCCTGATAAACGATCGTCCCGACGCTAAGCAAGACAGGCAAAGATCTCCTCCTCCTCGCTGCACCACCACGGCTCCTAACAACCCAAACTCATTATTGCTTGCATGTTAATACATAAAGTATGAGAAACCATTCTCGTCTCTGAAAACTAGAAATATTTCACAGTCAGACTCCAGCGTGAATGACAAGGGTCCAAACTTAAAGACAACAGAAAAAGCACGACTCTGTCTGTTTCTTTTTTTTTTTTCTCTGTGTTCCTCTCTGGTTTCTTTCTGCTTTAACAAGGACAGACTCCAGTTTGTGGGAAGAGACAACATGGACGTTTGCTGGTGTATTCAGGATGTAGCAAGTCACAAATTCTTTGGAGTTTCATTCGATAAGCCGAGATGATGGAGCCTGCGGGGCTTCTCATGTACTGTCCCGTCACAGGATGCAATGTTTTCACACACTCTCTTTAGATCCAAATAAAGACGCACACACACACACACACTTGTCACACACGCGCACTCGCACACACACGCTGCCTTTCTCAATGCAAAACACAATTGGCACAGATTATCAAAATAAATACCCTGGAAGCTTGGCACTATGCAAAAGAAACTTCACTTTTTTTTTGAAAGAAATCTTATAAAAACTATTGAATAATCTCAGTCTACTCCACGTTTTCGTTTATCCTCACTATTACTTATATACTATATGCTGATGAAGGTTACACCAGTGTCGTAAACCTCTGAATGACTTAACTACCACTGAAACAATATAGCTCCTATTCAAATAGATTTTTTTTTCCACAAACGTACATCAAAATGAAGTATCTAACATCTATCGGACTATAGATAGTGCTGTTGTCTGGTATGCATCTCTTTATAGTGCCTCTTAATTTTTTTCCTGCTCCCTCTTCTTTCAAACAATCAGTTCCTTAAACGTAATCTCTGAAACCCAGAAACAAAATCTCTGTAAGTTCTGGGGACAGATAAGAAGTCACCTTCCTTTGTGTTATCCCACCTCAGACAGATGTTTCTGCATCTGTGTGGACGTCTGTTGGTGCAGATTACCTCACAGGTGTCCCTCCAGGATGCTGGTGACAGCTTGGTCCAGTGAAGGGCCTGACGTGGCCCTGGTCGGGGCTGCAGAGGGGCCCTGCAGGCGCTGAAGCTCCAGGATGCTGTCGATGGCACTCTGTAGATGTTCACTGAGCATGTTGTCCTCTTGGAGGGGGGGAGGCGGCGGGCTGAACCGCTGCTCCGGCCGGGATGATGCATCCAACCTGTAGCATTTCAGTTTCGGGGCACTGACATCTCTGGGAGGCAACTCGAAGCAACCAACCTGTGGCTCTGGCATAGAAAGAGGGTTTGGGGCTTTTATTTTGGAAATGGGTGCTGTCTGTGGGACCTCCTCTGCGGTGTTACAAGGCAGAGCTCCGTTGGAGATCTCCTCATCACGCTGAGGACACTGGGGTGCTCCGTTGGGTGCCTGAGAGTGGCGTTCATTCACAGCTCCGCTGCCGTTGGTCAGGTGCCCCATGTGGTCCCTCTTGAGTCCAGGGTCGCAGGCCGAGTTGTGAACAACCTTACGGGAGCCGGACTCCTGCTTGATGGTGAGCCTGAGAGCCCCGCGGGAGCTGGAGCGGTATGTCTTCAGTCCCGGGGGCCGGTCGGACAGTCTGGTCCAGGGTGGTGGGGAGGAGGGGCTGCTGGAGGAGCACAGCTGGGAGGGGCCGGAGGAGTGGGCACCGTGGGGGGAAGACGCTGATGTAGCCAAGGCCGTCATGAATGATTCTGGAGTCAAGAGAAAAGAGCAGAAGATTGAACAACAAACTGTCATCGTGCAAACAGTTTTAAAGGGTCAGTTCACCCAAATGACCCAAATCATCTCATACAGCTATGCAGCTAATTTTGGTTTCAATTGCTTTGGTTTTTTGATATTATTCAAAATCTCAGATGTCAGGCTGAGTTACAGAAAAATGAGTTTAAAAAGACTCAGAAGATATTTCCAAGAATATATAGTACCTGAGCGATTTCACTACTTGAAGAATCTTTTATTCAAGGATGAAGCTACTTAAGGGAACATTTAAGGGGTATTTGGGGAAGATAAAGGCTTAATTCTAAATCTCCTCAAACCCATTACCCTTTATCCTGCTGAGGAGGATTAACTTTCCTCTATATGTCAGGTCCTGGTCTTGTAGCTTTCTGATGTCAAATCCTGTTAATCTTTCCAACAAATATCTCTTCATGTGCCTTATTAAAGGGATAGTTCTATCTTTTTAAGTTAGGTTGTATGATTGACTTATCCATAGTCATTTTATTACCTATGGAAGATGTTGGTCGGTACCCACCCAGTTTGGAGAGGCAGGCTGAGCAAAGAAGTCAACACGTCCCTCTCCCCAGCTCCTCCTGGGGGACCCTGAGATGTTCCCAGGCCAGATGAGATATGTAATCCCTCCAGCATGTTCTGGGTCTGCACCAGGGCCTCCTACCAGTGGGACGTGCCCAGAACACCTCTAACAGGAGGCGCCCAGGAGGATCCTGATCAGATGCCTGAACCACCTCAGCTGACCCCTTTCAACGCGAAGAAGCAGAGGCTCTACTCCGAGCTCCCTCTGGATGTCCGAACTCCTCACCCCATCTCTAAGGCTGAGCCCAGACACCCCACAGAGGAAACAGCTGCTTGTATATGCGACCTCATTCTTTTGGTCGCAACCCGAAGCTCATGACCATAGGTGAGGGTTGGGACGTAGATGGACCAGTAAATAGAAAGCTTTGCCTTCTGGCTCAGCTCACTCTTTATCATCACAGCCCAGCGCAATGCTAGCATCACTGCTGATGTCGCACCAACCCGCTTATTTATCTCACACTCCATTTTACCCTCACTCATGAACAAGACCCTGAGATACTTGAACTCCTTCGTTTGGGGCAAAAACCCTCTCTCAACCCAGGTAAAATTATTGGATTTCTTAAAAGAGTTTGGATATGAAGAAAGCAATATAACGGCTTTAGTTACCTATCAGAAAGGGCTGTCTGTGAGCGAGGTAAAGCTGTTTCTTTTTGTGTGGCTAAAGTATGTAGTATATCGCTTAGCTTCTGTGGTGGTACTTCTGTCTGCTCCTCCAAACTGGGGCCATGCAGACAGACATCTACTTCATGTAACACACCGACTGTGGATAAGTACCTCATCCCAACCCCACTTCAGAAGATCCAAACAATCCCTTAAACATGACCACAGAGCATCTGTTTGGGACTATGGATGAAAAACACGTTTGCATTAACGTGCACTTCACATTAAATAAATAAACGTAAGGGTTTTTGTTTTAGCTAAAGTTAACTATCACTTGTGAGTTGTATAATTTTTGTATTCCTTCAGAAGTCCAACAGCAGCCGAGCCTGACATTTAAGACTTTTCAAGTGCTTCCTTCCCCCTTTCCCAACTTTTTTAATTAACATAACAACCCTGCTTTAATTTGCTCTTAACCTCTCACATGTAATTTTCTCGTCATCACGCCGAGTCTCTCTCAGCACGACCCTGCTCCACATTTACACAGCTTAATTACACATTCACACCTGGGAGCTGCTCTGGAGCAAATATGGAGGTTAAGTGCCGCGCTCCGAGGCACAGATAAATTAGTTTATGAGAATAAATTGGGAAGTGTCACTGATTCACTTTTCCCATCCATATTTTCTGTCTCAGTCTTGGGATTTGAATCGTTCTCAGCCAAGAAAAATAACACGTTTACGTAGGTGTGTAATAAGGTAGATGGTGATGATGGATGGCACTGACCTGGGTCTCTGCGGACTCTCCGTCTGTCCTCCGCTAAAGCGCATCGCTCAGCCTGGAGGAAGAGACGCTCCAGCATCACCATCTCTGCTGACGGACTCTCCTGCTGTGGAAACCAGTTCATACTCCGTCAGACACACAAAGCATCATCTGTCTGCTCCAGGACTGGGAAAACAACTCTGTGGGATCTTTGATTTGGTGCATTTAATTTTCTCACTGCCCCATGATAATGACTCAGGCCACATAAAAACAATTACAAACCAAAGATGGCCGGTCTCAGAAGGAGCTCACTTACTCAACAGTTACTGACGCAGCATGTTGAATCTTACCTGGGCTTCTCTAACTAGTAGCTGCCTGTATTTGTTGACCATGTCCTTGGTGCGTTTCAACAGGAAACCAGACACAGTGTCAAACTCCTGGTCCACTGTGAGCACAGAAACATTATCAGAGTCAGATGAGCTGTTGACAAAAAGTTTGTGGGACCTGAAGAACTTACGGAGTCATCAACAGGCATCAAGTATGCACAAAGTTCTACACCGCTGTTTACCTTACACCAGTTTGTATTGTTGGAGGATGTGGAGCTGGACTGATCGGTCAAGTAAGGTTTTTCCCTGGACTCTGACCAGGGAAATACCAGTACCAATGCCAGTACCCTTAAAATTATGCCAATACCAATAGAGTCGTTAATTCAATACCAGTGGAGTGGTGTGTATACTTCCAAATGTTTTGGTGGCATCTCTGCGGTAGACGTTGAATTGACCATTCGAGGAGGAGAGTAGCTCTGCAGATGTGAGCAACAGAAAGTTTGGTGATCCTGCAAGGAGTTGAGATGGTCTAGGATCAGACCCCACTACATGCAGGTCAAAGGCAGGTATCGTTTGACTGGAGATGTTTCAGTACTACTTGGTACTGGGTTATTTAGTATCGATACCTTAAAGGTATTTAGTATCGATACACAGCCTTACTTGTCACCATCTACACTGCTGAGGTCAGGCCATGTCTGGAGAATGACAGTGTCCTTCTGGAGAGGATGGGTCCTCAGTGTCATCTCTTAAGAGTGCAACCCTCCACTTCAACTCCCATCCCTTTAGAGCAGGAGGGAACAGGCAGCCGCCCAGCTAGTCAAAGAGATGACACATCTACACCATCATTTGCTCCCACAGACAGCACAAACAGACAGCTTTGGAGCAGCAACAAGCTCACACGTCCAGTGCAGAACAAACAGGCTGAAAGCAGAAACCTGTCTGCTGCAGTCAGACTTTATAGAGCTGAATGGGACAAAGATGGATAGCTGAACATTTGGGATTTGTTCTGTTTGTTATATTGTGTTTTTTTTTTTCTTTTTTAGTGTGTTTGTGTTGTATATTTGTTGTGTTATGGCATTTTAAAATGTTTGCCTCTGCAGAAAAATACACCGCCACACACTTCCAGTAGGTCATAATTGATGACTGAGTGGAATTACTTTTGTTTGAGTCTTAACACTGTGTTTTAGGATAATTCTTTATTATATTAGAGCTCACCTAAATTGAAGTCATCCTGAGTGGGCAGGTGACCGGCGCAGGTGTGGTACGGCAGCAGGCGCCTAACAGCGTCCTTCAGTGTGGAAAAGGCCGGGCCGGTGAAGGGGGTCTGAACCGCTGCGTGGTCCAAACAGATCTGCTGCTGGAACCTGAAGGACACGACGGAAACTGTGTTAACCTGAGCTGCTGCAGACTGGTAAGGTAATAAAACACGACGTTGTACTTTTTTATATTTACTCTCTCTTACTGAGTGATGTAATGTAACAGTTATTCAGTACATACAAAAATTAAATACATAAAATAAGCTGATGTCAGTCTGAGAGTGAACTTTAGTGACATTTTCTATTTCATGGTTTCATCCGACATCACAGAACTTCTTACCTGTGCCTGCGCATTGCTGGTGTGACCCTCTCCTCTCTCTGCTGCTCCAGAGGACCTGCCAGCTGGCAGCCAGAAAACATTTTGGATGAGATCAAAGGACGGAGACAGGGGAGCACTTTCAGGTCATTAATAATAAGTTTGCCGCATTTAACAAATAATCATTTCAAAGCTTCCTGTCTCTGTTTCAAGACCGGAGCCAATTCATTTTCACCCAGAGGGGAACTTATTTAAATCATTACAGAAATTTAAATATCCCGAAAATAAATTACATAGGTTATATAATATAATTAGAGTTGAAATGATTTGTTAAACACTTAGTGGGTTGACAGTAGGGCTGCATAATGTGCATAAAAAAATTATATTGTGATTATTTTGACAGATATTGGGACTGTGATACGAGTCATTATTTTAGTGGGAATGGCAATTTTTGCATTTTATTTTCACTGAAAAAACATATATAAAAATGAGGATGATGTGATTTTTCTTGGGTCTGTACCTAACTAGACTCACAAGTCAGTCTTTAGACGCTTTGCTTAACTGAAGGCAGAGATCTCTGATTGTCTGGTGGCGAGACTAGTACCTAACAAGCATGCTCCCTTATGTCTAGAATATGACTTGTAGATGAGGGCCTCTCTGTAGCACCACAATGCTTCTTTTATTATAATAGTACATTGAGACACATTTTACTTTTATCAGTATTGCACTTAGTCATATTGCAAATTCGAAAATATTTTGATTTATTGTGCAACTCTTGTCAACAGCAACTTTTTTAATAATTGTCATATATTTTGGGAGGTAAAAATGGCCAAAAGTGTTCAGGTTTCGTCTTGTAATATTAGAATATTTGCTGTTTTTATCAATTGTCTATCATAGTAAATTTAATATCTTTTGGTTTTAAACTTTTGGTCAGACAAAACAAGACACTTAAATATGTCAGCTTGGGCTTTGGGAAGTTGTGATGGACAAATTTATGACATTGTATTGACTGAAAGATTTATCAATTGATCAAAAGATTAACTGACAGATTAATTGACAATGAAAATAATCTTTAGCTGCAGTCCTTAAGATAATATATACAATTTGTCTTTATATGCAACATATTTTACATTCGGTTATGTTTGGATTAAATTTAAGTATTTGGGATTTTTCCAACATCAACATAAAACAATAACCATCAAAACATTTAATGTATAGGCATTTCTGTACAGTATAAAGCACTAAAAACCATACTTCACACTGATCTTCCTTTGCAGTTTTCCCCATTATTTTTAAGATGTATTAATTTTAAGGCAAAACGTTCTGACAAATATATGTTTGTTATTTTGATATCTACTTGCAAGAAAGCCCTCACAAGGTGCTGGTTGCTTCCTGAACACCCCACATTAGGGGAGTAGATAGATAGCATAAATTATATTCATGTTATGGAAAAGATTATTTTTCTCTTCATCTTTAGAAACATGTGTTTTAAAAAAAGAAATACGTAACACCCTTATGGCCTGATTTTGTGTAGGTATCGTACAAAACACCAGTTGACTGTTTTCTGTTTGTTTTGTTTCCTCAAGTCTCCCTGACATATATTTCATGGTGCTTATATGAACACTTAATTTCTCCCAAAATGTACAAAGTTATTAAATTTTGAAGAAATCTGAACAGCAGGGGAAATTATTGTGTTTATTAGGATTTACAGTATCTCACATAAGTGAGTACACCCCTCCCATTTTTGCAAATATGTTATTATATCTTTTCATGGGACAACACTATAGAAATGACACTTTGATATAACTTAAAGTAGTCAGTGTACAGCTTGTATAGTAGTATAGATTTACCTTCCTCTGAAAATTACTCAAAACCATCAACATCTAAACAGCTGGCAACATAAGTGAGTACACCCCACAGTGAACATGTCCAAATTGTGCCTAAAGTGTCAATATTTTGTGTGCCAACCATTATTATCTAGCACTGCCTTAACCCTTTTGGGAATGGAATTCACCAGAGCTCACAGGTTGCTTCAGGAATCCTCTCCCACTCCTCCATGATGACATCATGGAGCAGATGGATGTGAAGACACCTTGTGCTCCTCCACCTTCAGCTTGAGGATGCCCCACAGGTGCACAGGTGAGTTTAGGGCTGGATACAAACTTGGCCAGTCCACCACCTTCAGCTTCAGCTTCATCAGCAAGGCTGTTGTCATCTACTAGGTGTGTTTTGGGTCATTATCATGTTGGAAAACTTGATAATGAAAACTTGCGGCTCAGTTTCTGAAGAGGGGCGATCATGCTCTGCTTGGAATTCATGTTTCCCTAAATGAACCGAGCTCCCCAGAGCCGGCAGCACTCATGCAGCCCCAAACCATGATGCTGCCACCACTGTACTTGACTGTAAGCAAGGAACTGGGGCTGCATGAGTGCTGCCGGCTCTGGGGAGCTCGGTTCATTTAGGGAAACATGAATTCCAAGCAGAGCATGATCGCCCCTCTTCAGAAACTGAGCCGCAATACAGTTTTCCAACATGATAATGACCCAAAACACACCTAGAAGATGACATCTGCGTTGCTGAGGAAGCTGAAGGTGAAGGTGATGGACTGGCCAAGTATGTATCCAGCCCTAAACTCACCTGTGCACCTGTGGGGCATCCTCAAGCTGAAGGTGGAGGAGCACAAGGTGTCTTCACATCCATCTGCTCCATGATGTCATCATGGAGGAGTGGGAGAGGATTCCTGAAGCAACCTGTGAGCTCTGGTGAATTCCATGCCCAAAAGGGTTAAGGCAGTGCTAGATAATAATGGTTGGCACACAAAATATTGACACTTTAGGCACAATTTGGAAATGTTCACTGTGGGGTGTACTCACTTATGTTGCCAGCTGTTTAGATGTTGATGGCTGTGTTTTGAGTAATTTTCAGAGGAAGGTAAATCTATGCTACTATACAAGCTGTACACTGACTACTTTAAGTTATATCAAAGTGTCATTTCTATAGTGTTGTCCCATGAAAAGATATAATGAAATATTTGCAAAAATGGGAGGGGTGTACTCACTTATGTGAGATACTGTATGATGACTTGGTATGATTTTCATAAACTGCTGTCAGAAAAAAAAAAAAAATTCTAATCACATTTTTGACATCATAAGGAAAGATATTATATTTCTTACAGCCCAGACACACCAAACCAAGATCAAAGAACTAGTGGTGACTGTTGCATCTCCTCACGCACCATGTCTCGGCCAAGAAGTTGCACTTCAGACAACAGCCAACTAGCACCTACGTTTTGCGCTTGTGTGAGAGGAATTAACTCTCCACACCAGCAGGTGAGAGATATCTGTATTCGTGCCTTGAAAAAGGAAACCAGAAGACCGAAAGGACAGATTCAAGTCGCTAGTTAGCACATTAACAACATGACTCGATGTTGAAAGAACAAATTAAGTTTACCGTGCACTAGTGAACAATAACACAAACAGTTACAAACTGTTTCTGCCAAAGAGCTCAATGGCTAAAAAAGAAAATACCAGATATATCAAGTTTGTTTTAATTTCGCCTTCTTGACTTAAAATGCTTGCTTTCCTCACATCTGTTTCTCGTCTTGTTCACTGAGCTGAAATGCCAATCAGAATGATTTCATCCACTGACGCCAATTCAACATGCTGACAAGACAACAAGGGCCGACAGATGCTCACTGACAACTGAAAATTGACCAATGGCTGACCATCAGTTTGGTGTGGAAATAGAAGTAGCTGTCTCTCACCTTGGTGCTGGTTTGCTGACTCGTCTGGATGGGGGCACACTCTCTGGAGGCCGGGGGCCCATGAGCCTGGACACCCTGGGCTGCAGGAGAGGGTGGATGGACATCGAGAGTAAACGGTTTACTCTCCACGACCAAGGCAGCTGTTGGCTCTGCAATGGAGGACATGATGACAGTGATGACAGAGGCAATGGCGATGATGATGATGATGATGATTGTATGGCAGATCATAATAATGATGATGGTTAGAGCGAGTCGCTCTGTGTCATATTCTAAATGAAACTCACTGTTTTGTGTGTGCTGTTGGACAGCGGAGTCGTCTCCTCCTTTGGAGAGACTAGCAGACGCAGCCGTGGGATCAGGCTGCTGCTGAGGCACCGAGACACGCAGAGGGGGGGGACTGATGTGGACTGACGGGTTGACCGAGGACTGAGGCTGGGAGACAGACGACTGCTGGACCTGGACCTGGACCTGGACCTGGAGCTGGACCGGAGGCTGGGAGACAGATGACTGGATCTGCACCTGGTTCTGGGCGAATAAGGCCTGTGAGACCTGGAGCTGATGGGGAACCTGGTACTGGACTTGGGGCTCAATGCGAGGCTGGGGGGCTGTGATCTGAGGGACCGAACTCTCGGGACCAGGCAGAGTGATTTGAGGGGAGAAACTCGTCGGCGCTGGTCGCTCTGAGTCCTGAACAGGAGGGGAGGAGCAGATCAGCGGTGTGTCCTCTGGGTTTGAGTGAAGTGGAGAGGCCTCGACACACTGGTCAGACATCACAGTGTGGGCGTCCTGACCGGAGACTGTGTGGGTCTGTGGCTGGGTCTCTCTTTCATTGGCCACCGGGGACGCCAGCGACTCCATCGGCACTACCGGCAGCGCTCCAACCAACAGTTCAGATGTGATAGGAGAACTAAGTGCTTGCTGTGGTAGAAATAAGATGGAAAAACTGCAGTTAGATAAATCTTTTTAGATTGAATTTGAAGCTCATAGTTCCATGGCGCATGAAACCTCATCACTGAGCACTGTAACCAACATATAAACGTAAACCAGCACAAGACATTCATCACTGAGTCAGGAGGAATCTGTTGCAGCTCTGACCTGTTGCAGATGTTGCATAAAGGCCTCGTTCTGACTCATCGACTGCGTCACCTCCTCCATTACTTGGGTCATGTCTGCTGGGGGCATCAAAAGTTTAGGGATCTCCACAGCTGGATCGGGGGCCAGAGGAGGTTCAGGGGGAGGCTGCAGGACTGTGACTACAGGAGGAGAGGAGGACTGCAGCCCTGCAGAGGTGGGCTGCACCGAGACGTGCTGGAGGACATGTCCATAGGGCTGCAGCAGGAGAAAATAAAGACATCAGAGCTGGTTATTAAAGTTGAATTTAACTGCAAAATACCTATTTTAACATTACAGTGTGGGCTGTGCCTCCAGTTTGGAGAAGCAGACTGGACTACCGCCACAGAAGCTAAGCAATGTACTGCTGTGGACGCTGTAGCCACCTAAACAAATCTATATCAGTTCACATTGTGTCAGCCTCCTGTTTCATCAGGGCCAGCTTTGTGTGTGTTTGCCCTGGTCGGTCTGTCTGTCTGTTCGCTGTGTCTTGCAGGTCCTGGTGGGCGGAGCTAAGTGGCAACAGGGAGCACCTGGCCAGTCTCCCAGTGGCAGCTTACTTGAGCCTGGCTGTGCAATCAGTTGGCTCTCTTCCCCTCATCTGGCACCACGCTCATTTACACACCTCATAACTTAACTACGTTTTTTGCAATTATGTTCTGTAAATAAAAATTTGGTGCACTTTTTAGTTGATACCGTGTGTGTCTCCCATTTTTGTCATGGCCTATGAGCCAGGTCACGACTAATTAGGGGCTTGTCCAGTCCAGTGCGCAAGAGGTAAGTCATTGACTTGGCTTAATGAATGAATGAGCTTGTGGGGTGTGATGAAGTGTTTGTTTAAGAGCACAATCCATGACAGGTAAAGCTTTGGTACCCCTTTGGTTCATCGGGTTAGTTTCTTTTCCTTATAGTGTTGCAGTGAACAAGGTTGGAGCAATTATTGCTCAGAAGCACACCATAGTACTGGGGGGTTGCCAAATGTTTGGTCACCTTTTCCGCACTACTGGTATTCAGTGCATAAGCACCCATCATTGGCACTGCATGAAGACTAGGGATGAGTTTCGTGTGAGTTAGATTTGGACAGGCAGATTACGTGGGGGGGGTTCACACTCTTCTTTTTGTGGGTTGATTGGACCCTTAGCGCACGAGGTTGGCACTTGCTTTGACCCACGGGTTTATGGGTTACTCTATATTTAGAATATTTTAACCACTTTGCCTTTCCGTCACATAGCTCTTTCAGACAGGGACCTAAAGCTATCATAGCAATCTATGCTCTCTTCAAAGCCACACTCAATTGACAAAAACAGTGATTTTACCTCGCAGAACACAGGAGTTCTGGTCTACCACTGCCACAATCAGTTACTTTGTTTGTGTTATTTTGTGACTTTGGTGAATCTGAACTAACCCTTTAAAACCCTTAAGTCCCATAATAATATAAACAAACTAAGTGAAAGAGGCAGCTGTAGACCAGCAACTCTTGTGTTCGGCGAGGTAAAATTACTGTTTTTGTCAATGGAGGCTGGCATTAAAAGAAGTGATATAACAGCTTCCATTCCTTGTCGACAACTGCTGTCTGACGGCAAGGTGAAGTGGAGAAAATACTGTAAATATAGTGTAGACTTAAACTGATAATATTTTTTTAGGTGGCTAATGTACATTTTGCTGCTGTCCCTGTTCACAGCAGTACATTGCTTAGTTTATGTGGTGGTACTCCTGCCTGCTTCTCCAAACTCAACCTGAACTATCCCAAATATCTTAAAACTTGTATAGCAGTACTTTTTTGTCTTATGTATGAAAATCACTTGGTTGAAACTTGTGTAATCCATCATAGTGAACATCAAGTCTGCATGATTTATTTGTCAATGTTACAATTATCATTACATGGGAATGCAGTTCAGGTGCAGACGGATTTCACAGGAGAACTCCAGCTATTGAGTGACACAGTTTCACAAAGTTGCAAGCAGCAGATTAAGACATGTATAGTCAAAATCAAAGCTGCACAGGCAGAGATATCTTGGCTTTCAGCTCCTTGTATGGGTCAAGCTTTAAAAACACATTTCCCAAAATGTAACATCTTTTTGTTAAACCCTTTCTCACTGGTAGATGCCCACGTATTTTAACTCCACATTCCCAGTTTGTAACACAAGCTTTCTGTTAAGTGTTTTCCTTCAAGCCTGAGCCAAGGCAGGTTATTTATATTTTATTCGATTTTGGATTGCTCCCTCTAGAGCCACAGTTGACACTATACAACTGTTTCACAGGCTGAGTAGGACTCCTTGGGATGAGTAAACTGATCATCATACTACGATAATATCACACTGACAAAAATTGATTCAGACTTCATTTTCACTGTGATGGATTACATCATCCAAGCAAGTGTTGAGCATCTGCTTACTGAACCAAGGTACAACAGCAACATTAAGATGAAATAAATTCAAATGACTAAAACACAGCAGCATTAATTGCCAACCTCTGAGACAGAAACGGCAGCTCACCTGTGGTAGCTGGTGGAACGTCTCCTCTGAGCTGCTCCTCTCCTCTTGAATGGCTCTTTCTGGCAGCAGTACCACGGAGGCCTGCTGGAGGCTCAGCTGTCCTTCTGTCACTCCTCCTGTCTGAGGAGCAGGGGCCTGTGCAGCAAAAGGCAGCCCCTGAACTACTGAGGGGCCGTTGACGATCGAGATGGAAGTGAGATCCGGGGGAAGCACCCCTGAACTGTTGATCAAGGTAATGTGGTTTCCAAGAGCAGGACTGTGGACCAGGGTGGTACGCTGCCCCTGCCCTCCTGGAGTGTAGGTTCCAGCCAGCTGCGCTGGCATCTGGAAGACAGTAGGGGGCGCTGACTGTAGCTGCAAAGGTCCTGAAAGCACAGTGGCCTGGCGGAGTGCTAGCTGCCCTGAAGGCGTGGTGAAGACGGGGCTGAAGTTCAGCTGTCTTTGGGGCACAGTTAGGATCTGAGAGCCTTCTACCAGCTGCCCAGTGGAGGGATTCACACTGTGGAGAGACGGGCCATGGTGACTGGGGGTCAGCAGCGGTCGAGCTGCACTGGCAGACTGGGAGATCGTAACAGGGGACTGGCCTGGAAGAAGGAACTGGTTTTGGCCTTGGAAGAGTCCCTGAGGCTGCAGCACAAAGGAGCCGCCCTGGTTGACCAGCTGCAGGCTGACTGGTTTGGGGAGCTGCTGGGTGGGCTGCTGCGGAGGAGCTGCAGGCTTTTGGCCCGGAGGTTGGGAGAGTAAAATATTTGGTGAGGCAGTCCCAGGGACAAATGTAAGACTTGGAGTGTGTTTTGGCCCAGAAGGCTTGGGGCTAATTTGAACCAGTCTGGGCTGAATGCTGATAGGCAGTTTGGGTTGAATGGGAAGAGGGGCACGCTGCAGGACGATGCCCGGTGCTGCTGCTGCTGTTGCTCTCAGGGTTGGGGTGATAAGAGGGCGACTGGTCATACTGGGAACAGCCTTGTGGATGATCATACTGGATGCCTGGGCAGGACTCAGAGAGAAGGAGGTCTCTGGAGAAGCAGCAGGGAACACGTTTCCAGGCAGGAGCCCCATCAGCTGAGGAGGGGCAGCAGGTTTTAGAGAAGGGCAGCCTGGCCCGACAGCCAGGAGGGAGGGCTGCGGGGGCTCCACTGCTGCTTGGGTGTCCCTGGGCAATGCCTGGGTGATGGGCAAGGTCACAGACTTGGGTATGAATGGTACGGTGGGTGGAGAGAGGAGAGGGGCAGGTGAGTACAGCGACAGGCTGTCCCCAGGTTGGGCCAGACCTGCCTCCAGAGCCATGGTCTGCTCTGTGATCTCAGCCTCCTGCAGGCTCTGCTGGAGGATATCACATGCCACCTCTGCCTCCTCCGCTTCCTCCACCTCTCCCTTCTTTGCCTCAAATCCAGCCTCCACAGGTGTCCCACCCTGCACCACCTGTGGGTCTTCTCCACCCTCCGGCGATGACAGGAGGGCCTCCTCCAGGAAGGACAGATCCACACACCCAGGTGGAGGTGTGTCTGGGGAATCCCTGCCATCTCCCAGCAGAGAGACTGGGCTCTGGGGGAGGAAACAGTGGGAGACAGAAAGAGAGGTGCAGACAACAGGATAGAAGAGAGAGAGTGAAAAGGAGGGGAGAATAGTGTGGTTAGCAGGAGTTAAGAGAAAGCACTTTCAGGCACAGGAGGAGAGAAAAAAAAATCGTTCTCCTGGGGAAAATGCTGGTTGTTGTGACGCTGCTGGCTGTGGATCCAGACACTCACCGGGGCATCTGTGAAGAGGGAGGGCTCCCCAGAGGAGGAGTTAATGAGCAGGTCTTCAGTCTGCAGCTGGTGGGATGAAATGAGTCGATTTTTAGGCAGGGCTCGCAAAGTCGTGGTGAGAAATGCACGCAGTATTACATTACGACTCTCTTTCACACTGTCAGCCCTCCTCCACACATCTCGCACGCCCATGAGCCAAGAAATATTCCCATCTCAAATTTATCATTTGCACTATTGATTTTTTTATTTGAGTCCCTCTCTATTTAACACTCCTTTGTTACCTCATTGGTCCCATGAAGGAAGTCGTTCAGGGCTTGGGGGTCACTGCAAAGACGGAGAGGAATCACAGTCAGTTCAGTCTTATTGAATATTTGGTGCAAGTCAAGGATTCTGTACATTCGAACAAACTACCAGTTTTAACGTTAAATCATATACCGGTATAACAAAACCCTGCCCAGTTTACTTTCGATCATCTACAGGATCATTTTTATTCCGTTGGATCAAAGTACGAATCAGACAGACTCACCACAAAACATCAAGTAGACAAGTCCCATCTTCATCCTCCATGTCAACTAAAAGGAAGAGGAGGAAAAATAAAATCACATGAACATTTATTGGGAGGAAGTATAAATCACTGACTAGAAACCACTGCATCACACATTTTTACTTCCATTATCGATTAAATTAGAGGTTATTCTAGATGATGATTTTAATTTTTACAATCTCCAATGACATTGCTTCCTAAATTTAAGATTCTCATCTTGGTATATGAGCTCATAATGGCCTTCCTCCACAGTGCACATCAGACATGCTCTCAGTTAATATCCAGCAAATCTCAGGTCACAAGTAATCAGCCTTCATCATTTTTTACAGCATTTATAGATTTAGAAATTCACTGGTCTCCTAAAGCAAATCTACGTGTGCCTTATTAATGTACGTGCATGGGTATGTGCACTTTGTACTTATTCTTTCTCTATTGATCTATTATCCAGTAAGGCACCTCCAACTGCTTATGTGTGAACTTCTTGTGAATGGATTAATTGTTTGATTTATAAAAAGCCAGAAATTTGTGAAATTTGTGAAAAATTGCTAGTTCGTGGAGCACAAAACACCAAGTTTAAATTGTTTTTGTGTTGGATCAACTGTCCAAAATCCAAAGAAATGCAACTTACAGTGATGTAAAACAGAGAAAAGTAGAAAATCCTCACATTTGAGAGGCTTGAAGAAGTGACTAATTGGCATTTTTGCTTGATAAATGACTTGGATAACTGTTCAAAACAAAACCAAACCAGTTGCTTCAGAATTAACTGTTGTCCAGACCATTGTCTCCAACCCAGTCACCAGAACAGATGTCGGCATTGTATGTTTCCGCAAACCACATGTATGTCACACTTGTACTTTTCTTATGTAGCAGATTAGTTGAAACTTCACGATTCAATTTTGAATTTCATGTTGTGACAAGGCTGTGGTTAATGTGGCTAGGTTTAGACACAAAAAACACTTGGCTTCAGTCGTTACGAGCACAGATGGAAATGTCCCAAAGTCTCATGAAAACACACCTGCTTTTGTCACGACAAACATCGCTGGACATATCCCAAACTCTCATTAAAAAATACACTGCTACATACGTGGCTGTTAATGTCCTGAACTCTCGTTAGAAAAATGGATTTGTCGCTACAAAGATGGCTAGAAAGGTCCCAAACTCTTGTCAGAATATACTTGTTTTTGTTGCTACAAGCATGGCAGAAATTGTCCCAAACTCTCATTAAAGAATATCCGCTTTTGTTGCTAACATGTCTGGAAATGTCCCTAATTTTTGTTAAAAAATGCTCGGTTTTGATGCTTCAAACACGTATGGAAACGTCCTAATGTATTGTTAAAAAATACTTGCTTTTGTTGCTACAAACACGACTGAAAATGTCCAAAACTTTCAGTCAAAAATGCCCGCTTTTGGTGCTGTAAACATGGCTGGAAAAACCTGAACTTGCATTAAAAAACATCCACTATGTCATGACAAGCATGGCTGGACATGTCCTGACATGTTATTAAAAACACCTGCTCTTGTTGCTACAAATATGGCTTAAAATGCCCTCTCATGTTGTTAAGAAATGCAAGCTTTTGTTGCTACCACCATGGCTGGAAATGTCCCAAACTGTGTAAAAAAAAAAAAAAGCATAAAAAAAAGCATACCTGAACTCTCGTTAAAAAAAATCACACGTATGTTGCTACAAGCATGGCTGAAAATGTCCCAAAATCTCATTAAAAAATGTTTGCTTTTGTCACTCTAAAAACAGCTGGTAATGTCCCGACATGTGGTTTAAAATATGTTTGATTTTGTTGCCACAGACACAGCTGGAAATGTCCTTACTGTTGTTTAATAAACACCTGCTTTTGTCGCTACAAGCATGGCTAGGTGTGTCCCAAACTCTCATTAAAATATGCCCGGCTTTGTCTCTACAACCATGTCTAGAAATGTCCTGATACACTAAAAAAATACCTGCTTTTATCGATACAAACACGACTGGAAAACTACCGACCAGGTTTGTTGTATGTTGGTCTTGGGCAGCGGTCTTGCCTACATGCCATGCCATCAGTTAGTGTATCCCTGGTTTGCAGAAATGTACAATGCCAACATTTTATTCAGGCAACTTGGCTGGTGTTCTCCAACCTTTTGACTTGTGACCCTTTAAAATAAACTGTGTGACTCCTTATCACAGCTGCTGGCCTCAGTGTGGACATGAACTGTCAAAGAGTGATTTTCTCCCTCACATTGTTTTATTTGAGTCATTTCACAAGAACAAAATCAGAAAAATCTAGATCATGTTGTGTTACTGACTCCTGCAGTCCCTTAAATGTGAGAGTCCCAACACCACAGGATGGGAATCACTGGACAGATCACCATCCCACCCAGTTACACTCTCTCCTAATGAGTCTGATTCATGTGTCCACTTCCCAGAAGGAGACAGACCACAACATGGACCTACTTCATATGTGAGAGGCCCCATACAGAGCGGTCGAGCTGAGTTCTGGTGGTGGCCTCATGGGAAGTCGTGGCCGGGCTTCAGTGTCTGGAGGCGGAGGGATGCCAGGCCGAGACGGCGGGACGGAGACGGAGACGGGTCCTCCCTCTGCTGCTGGGGCATCGCTGCGTCTTCACGGTGCGGGAAGCCGGTGGGAGGCTGGAGGTGAGGAGGAGGAGAGGGGGAGGAGGAGGAGGAGGAGGAGGAGGGATTCACAAACACACACCACCACATGCTGTCAGGTCACTTGAGGTTACCACCAGCCAAAACACATTCTCATCTCAGCGGTGAGACATAAGATCAATACATGATTCATCAGTTTCTCCTCAGCTGTGGGCACACTTGGTGTGATCAGACACCTGAAGGGACCGGACCAAATCTTTCCCAATAATCGCGTCATAGTGTATCGATCATGCCTGACGCTGATGAGGAAAATGGAAGCTATTGTTGTGGCTATGACAGACATGAGATCTGAGCGCCTCAGCTGTAAATAGACGGCTCCCCCTGCGTCTTGGATGTGACTTGTCCTCTCCTCATGGCTGCAAGGGGAAAAAAAGCAATGTGGGAAAAGCTCGGCACAGTTCAAGCCAATTATAACATTACTCACTGCCTCGCGCTCAATTTCCAGGGGAGGTCCCTTAAATAAAACAAGACAAACCTCCCTCTCCGATGCCGATGCTGACATATTTTTGTTTACAACACGACAACCGCATTAACACCCTCGAGGTACCGCATCGCCCAATGAAATCCAGGCAAACGACCCCTCATCTAAACCTGCAGCGGCAAGTGCATGCTATTCTCTGGCAATAACAGGACCAGGATCCAGTGATGCATTTGTAGGTTACGTAAGGTGAATGTGTGTTCATGTGAAATTAATGTCCCAAACGATGCAGGATGCGGAGCCGCTGTTTGCTCCTGCTGGTATTTGTCTGCTCCTTTTTTTTTCTTTTTTTTAAAAATGATTTTCTCCTCCTGAGTGGGACCACGGCAGCTGACGCCTTGCTGTAAATCATATCGCGGTAACAAAAGATGCCTTGTGTTAAATATCATTTCCACACTGCCAGCCCCGAGCGATTCCCTTATCGTTGTGCCATTAGAGTAATTCCGCAATTCAGAAAAAAACAAGCAAGAGGAGGTAAAAAAAACTCACCCCTTCTTTGTGGTTTATTGTCCTGTCAAGCGGGCCTCTGCGCCATCGATTCTCACTCAGTGGTCTTTTCAGATGCTAAAAGGAGGAGAGGGGGTGGTGGTGGTGGAGGGGGTGGTGGATGGGGTAGGGTAGGGTGGGATGAAGGAGGAGGAGGAGGAGGAGAGGGGTGTGGAGGGGGGTACCGGGGTGGGTGTGAGAAACAGACTGGGAGAGCCGATCACAACACAAAGGTAGAGAGGAAAAAACAGAGGAGGCGAGGATCCAGCTTCAGCTGACCGCCTCCTGCGCTCCGTCAGCCACCGGCACACACTTCACATGTCCCCGCACCTCACAGCGGAGCTCCCTCATCCCCGATACAGATGTTACTCGTACATTTTATTGATTTTTCTTCCTTTAATTCCCCCGAGTCCGGAGAACTGTAAATACTTTCTCAGGCAGAGTGGTTAAAAATCAATATTTAGAGACGCGCTAATGTGCCACTGTACTGTGCCTAAAGGAGGAAATTACTATGTGCAGCACTGCAAAGCACATAACCATCCCTACACTTGTCTATGTACTGTTAAGGCAGGAGACAGAAGGAAAGAGATTAGAAAGAGACAGAAACTGGGAATAAAATAGTGAAAGACGAAAAATCCAAAAAGAAGAGGACAGACATACAACCAATGAAATCTGCAAAGATAAAAAGAAAACGCAGAGCATGTAGACATCCTAGAGTCAAAATCAAACAGTTCAAGAGGGGAGGGAAGAAAAAAATAAAAGAAGGAAGGAAAAATAAAGATAACAATATAAGGAATAAGAATATGAATTTGAAAGAAAAAAGGAAAAAGAGTAAAGACAGGACTAAAAGAAATGAAACCAATTAAATTTGCAAAGATAAAAAAACTGCAAAGCACATTGACATCCTTAGTGTCACCTCTCTAATGTCAAAAACTAAACTGTTCAAGAGGGAGAAAAGACAGATAAAATAATGATAAAGAAATAAGGAATAAGGAAAGCCACAAACATGAAGGGGAAAAAATGGGGAAAATGAAAAAAGATTAAAGACGGGACAGAAAGAACTGAAACCAATGACATTTACAGAGTTAAAAAAAACTGCAAAGCACATTATAATCCTTGCTAACACTTGTCTAGATACTATTAAAGTGGGAGAAAGAAGGAAAGAAATTGGGAAAAGACAGAAATTAGGGATAAAACAGTGAAAGACGAAAAATCCAAAAAGAATAAAAGACAGTACTGAAATGAAACCAATGAAATTTGCAAAGAAAAAAAAAGATGCAGAGCACATTAACATCCTACAGTCAAACCCAAACTGTTCAAGAGGGAGAAAAAGACAGAAAAAATAAAGATAAAGAAATACAAAATAAGGAAAGTCACAAAAACATGAAGAAAAAAACAGAAAAATGTAAAAGAGAAAAGACAGGACAGAAAGAAATGAAACCAATGACATTTACAAAGATTAAAAAAAAACTGCAAAGCACATTGTCATCCTTACTAACACTTGTCTATATACTGTTAAGGTGGGAGAGATAAGGAAATAGATTGGGAAAGACAGAAATTAGGGATAAAATGGTAAAAGACGAAAAATCCAAAAAGAAGAATAGACAGGACAGACATGAAACCAATGACATTTGCAAAGATAAAAGAAAATGCAGAGCACATTGACATCCTACAGTCAAAACTAAACCGTTCAAGAGGGAGAAAAAGACAGAAAAATAAAACAGAGAAAAAGCAGGACAGAAAGAAATTAGAGCAGTGACAGAAAACCTTAATTTTTTAAAAATCTGCAAAGCAAACTGACATCCTTAGTGTCACTTTCCCACAGTCAACACTTAACTGTTCAAGAGGGAGAAACAGACGTACAAAGACACAAAAGGAATGAGAAAAGTAACACAAACATGAATTTGACAGAAAAAAGGAAAAAGAAAGAGGACAGGAACCAGAGGTAGAGGAAACATTTCATTTTTAATCTTCCCACACAGGCAGTGTGTTTTGAAGGTCCAGGAAATTGTGGATATTCTTCCAAGGCACAGTTAAAAGAAAAAAAAAATCAATATTTCAAGACAAGCTTGTTTGCTGCCGTATTGAGTGAAAAATGGGGAAATGTGCATGACAGCAAAACAAATTTACATCCTCTGTGGCACCTCAGTCAATGGCACACGGTCCAAGAGGGAGAAAGACAGTGAGGAGGAAAAAGTTTTAAAGAAAGGATGAAGAAATAAGAACTTAAAGACAGTAAATGAATAACAAAAATGACAGACAGCAAAAGAAGAAAGGACACAGAAAGGAGAAAACCTTAATTAATTTTTATATCCTGAAAAGTCAAGGGACTTGTAAATATTTGCCCGCAGGAGTAAAATCAAAATATATTTTGAGATTTTTTTGCAAAAACTGGGGTAATTACCTTGAGCAAGACAGCAAAGCAAACTCTCATCCTTGGTAACACAATGGTTTTTTAGTCGATAGCAGGTGACAGTTGTAAAAAGATGGGGAAAAACAAAACTGGGCAAGGACAAACATAGAAAGGATAAAGTAGAAAAAAGAATATAATGAGACATAATAAGAAAAACTCAATTCAGAAAAATTTATTTAAATGAAATCTTTATTAATAAAGCAAACATTAAAATACAAAATGCACCTCCCCTTCATGAGAAAAAAACGTTCAGTAAAAACTGTCAAAATCTGCTCAAAACAGGTTACTCAAATCATTTCAACACAAGTTACAGAAAGAAAAAATAACAATGCCCCCCCCCCCCAACCCTCTACCCTCTACCCTGTCAGAGGCTTCACTTCTGTGCCTGCTGGGCCTGACGGCGCAGCAGCACGTAGATCTTCTCTTTGATCCAGTCCTTGTTGTACGGCTGGTATGTCTGTGTGTCGGCACGATACCTGAGACAGCATGAGAAATCAGATTTAGGTTCAGATTGCTTTAAAGCTTGGATGCCCTGGAAGCTCAGTCTCTCTAATGCACAATTTGACAAAAAACAACTGAATGAGACACTTTACATGTCGAACACTTCACCTCCTGAATGACCATGTGTACATCAGTTTGTTCATGTTGAATTTGTAGAGAAACATTTGGTTTCTCGCATGCCTCCATGGTGAATGGAGAATCCAAAAACAGAGAAAATCCTTGATGAACTGAAGTCATTGGAGTCTGCGTTTCACAACAACAAAACTATATCAAAACATCCGTTTATAAACTCTCGCACAACTCATGCAGAACAATCCAAGTCTCATTTATCCAGTCTTATGCTCAGTACTTCCCAAACAGACAGACAGTCCTTTTAAACATGTAATGGAACTGAAGTAGACACTCATTTGTGCTCTCTTCAAAGCCAGACTCCACTGACAAAAACAGTAATTTTACCTCCCTGAACACAGGAGCTGCTGGTCTTCCACTGCACTGATCAGTTAGTTTGTGTAACTATGATTTTGGTGAATGCGAACTAACCCTAAACACTCGGATAAATGATTGTTCTTGTCAACGGAGTCTGGTTTTGAAAAGAGAACATTTGTAGTTCAAGTCCTCGTTGGAAAAGGTTGCCTGTTTAGGCAACCCGGTCTCACTCCAAAGTCGTCGAAATCTGGTGCTTGGGCAGTGACTTGCAGCGTCAGACTCTGATGAAAAAGCCCTCTTTTGATGTCAGCATGATACGCAACCAGTTGCCGTTATAGTTTAATGGCGCTCGGCGGTGTTCGCATCCCATAAGATTCTAAAGACAAACCCTGTTCTTTTTTCCTTAACCCAACCACATGCGTTTGTTGTGGAAGGTAAAAAAAAAACCCCGTCAATTCTCAGTGTTGTACCGACGTAGTGTGTATATTTTGAAGGAGACTGTATGTAAAAGTTACATTTCCTGTGAAAATAGAAGTGTATCTTGAAAGACGACAATGCATGTAACAGGCAGAACATGATACGGTTTCGCAGAATGTCAACAACCCACACACCCAGGGTACCTTGCACGTCGTACTTGGACACGGAGAGTCGATGACCAAACGTAAATATGTGACGAGGTCGGAGTGAGAGTGTGTTGGTTTAGGAAGTACTGAGTTCAATCAGACTTGGATTATACTGTACAGGTTGTGTGAGAGTCCGTAAACAAATGTTCTGATACAGCTTTGCTCTTCTTAAATGCAGAAAACTATGAATTGATTTTCTCTGTTTTAGATTCTTCGTTCACCGTGGAGTCATGCGAGAAAGACAGTTTTCTTCACAAATTCAATGCAACACACGGTGGGTAACTGATATAAAAATGGTCATTTGGGGGGTGAAGTTTTCCTTTAAGTCAAGTTCAACTACTGGGTGAAAGAAAAGCACCGTAGCTGTGCTCAAGGGCACTTTAGCCGAGTAGCTGCTTGTATACACAGGGGTTTGAACCTCCCAGGTGAATCACCCAAATTAACAAATTATTTAAAAATGAACGTCCTAAATTAACGGGGCCTCAGGCACAGAGAGGTTTCATCTGCTCTTACAGGATGTCTGCAGCAGTGTGGGTTTGAATCATGACTTGTTCTACATCTGTAATGCAAAGCTAAACATTCTCACTCAAACGTTTAGCCTCATACATCTTAAATTTGAACAATATGATGAAGCAGAATGTTTTTAACCAATGTTTCAAGGTAGAAATGGAAGTGCGAACGAAGGCAGAGACATCAAACCATCCGTAAGACATCATTCTTCACAGCTTATTGCTGTGTTGTTTGCATGGATGAATCACATGACAAGATGAAATTCAGCTAAACACTACGCTTCTATACAGTAAGTGTTTTTGTTCCCATACTTGCAAGAGTTAATGTTTTGTGTTTAATATCTGTTTGTGCATGCTATACAGTCACATTACATGGAGAGTTGCCTGCTGACACTCAATATTTTAAGCAGTAATAGGGTCAATTTGTCAATCTTACACCAAACAGCTGAGGTCAGCCAGGTCGTCGATGAAGTCAAACAGCTGGCTGATGTCGTATGTTATTGACGGACTGTTGGGGTTCATTCTCTTTAAATGCTCCTCGTACATCTTACACACACCTGTGCAGGAGACAGGAGATACATGTTAAGAAAATAAAAATACTGGCAATGGATTTCTATTGCAGAGATATGCGAAATCAGCAAAGTTGTTTATTTACATTGTCATTTTCAGCTGGAACTGTAATGTTTAAAGACATATAGTTAAACAGTGTGGTCGGGCCTATCTGAGGTTTCTGCTGTAGTTATTTAATGTATTGCGCTGCTTCACTAGTGTCTTTGATCCACCTGCATTAAAGCTTAGCAATGTACTGCTGTGGACGGCGCCGCAGCAAAACATATTTCAGCCACCTAAAAAAGCAACATCATTTTAAGTGTATGCTATATTTGTAAAAATTTATCCATTTTACCAGGCACTAACTGACAGAGGCAGCTGTAGACCATTAACTCCTGTGTTCCTCCTGTGTACTTTTTGTCAATAGAGTCTGGTGGCTTTGAGATAACGGCTTCAGTTCCCTGTTGGATAAGGCTGTCTGACGGCAAGTTAAAGCAGTGAAAATATTCTAAATATACCGTGCACTTAAAGTGATATGGATATTTCTTTCAGTGGTTCCCTTTTTAGGTTGCTAAGTACTAACTGATGAAGTTGTTGTTAACAAAGACTGTGATTCTGTCTATTGACTGGACACTGTTTTAGACCCTGCTGCTGATGAAGGAATTTGTTAAAACATTTGCACTGTATATTGTCAGCTAACTATCTAACAAATGCAGTTTATACCTAGTTAGTTATTCTATTTACACAAACAAATAAAATATTTGGGTCCAAACAATATACAAAAAAAATACATATCAGATAAACCCATTAGTAAAAACATTAAAAGGTAAAACAACTAACAACACAGAGTCCCATCATTCAGTAGAGGCCTGCTGGTGCTAAAGTACTGCAACACACGCATGTGACATGACTAAGATTCTTTTATCAGTGTCCACTAAAAGTGAGTTCAGTTCAGTAGAGTCGTGTCCATATTTCTTACAGATATGCTGTGTAAGAGGGCACAAAAGTGCATACTTTAAATTCTGTATCTAGGTCAAATCAAACCAAGGTAAACTAACGGGCACTCAACTTAACAATGTACGATCTAGAACATTAGTGACATCAACACATTGGGTATAATAAATGATGACATCTCCCGGGTGTTTGATATCAATGTCTCTTAATTTTGATAAGACACTGAATTTTTGTTTACGTCCATCTTTCATGTTACATGTGCGTTACAGATTATTTTACAGCTGCACACCAAGATCTTTTAACTACTACTAGGTTTGTAATATTTGTGAGAAATAAGTGTTATTGTTCTCACCCAGACCACCATAAGTCCCTCGAGAGTATACAAAAGCTGCATACATACACATTAACAGTGAAGATAATAGATACAACTCAACTATTTACTGCTACAAACTCAAGCTAAATTGAAAGTTTTATTGAGTATTTACTAGGCTCAACCCAGTAAGACCACCAGCGCCATTTTTACATTTACATAAAGTGCATGTCTATAAGAGACTATTTGTTTGTGCTGCGATGGAGGGACATGCAGCTTAAGTATAAAAGCACCAAAACACCATCAGCTCACCTTCCATACACTCGTTGACAGATTCATAATCAGCGTACGTCCTTCCCTCTGGCCTCTTGGTGGGCTGCACCAGCAGGATGGTGTGGGACTGAAAAACCAGACACATGTTGTTAGACTGTGTTTAATTTCATCTCGCTTCCAGGTGTGACAGCCAATTTGTAATGCAATCAAATAATGATACACATATTCACATGTGCAGTGTTGCTTGTTCTGTTCCATACATATTACACCAATATAAAATGAATATGTTTTTTTAAGACATTGCTTGAACTCTGGTGGTTAGCTAACTCATGATAGGTGATTGCCATGATGTTTAAGTAATAGTAGCAGTTCAGTGGTCACCACTAGTCTTATTTTGTAGTGATTTATCGGTCTGTTAATGTGTAGCTACGGTACATTAGTATGTGTAAGTCAATAGTATGTAGTCATAAAATAAAACACAACAAAAGACTGTTTTTTTTTCCGCAAGATTCATAGATGTATTTAAAAATCAAGGACTACGCAAACAGAAGCACACCTGAGCCCATCGTTACATCTTTAAATAATTTTATGTGTTATCCAACATTGACTTTAAGTGGTAATAAAGTAGTTAGTTAGTTAGTTAGTTAGTCAAATAACTAACAAACGATTGGGGGCTGGTTAGCAGTAAATCTGTGCTTTATTCGTCTCAGTGTTAGTGCAGCTGCTCAGGTGCCAAACGTCCCCCACACTCATGCTAACGTTAGCACAGAGCTTGTACCCTCATTTAACATCTGATCTGCTGAAATAAAACAGACACTCTGCTGTGAAAACTAATATTCTTCATGGATACACAAACATATATGTTATGAATATTGTATAACGACATACTGACCATGATTTTAACAGTTTTTTGGAGGTGTCCGTGGGTTTTCTTGGCTCCTAGCTTGCTCTCGGATGAGTTGACCTGTGACACCGGAAGTACAACTAGCTTACTGAAACCAAAGCATCGGCTGTTTAAGTTTTTAATTATTCTGTTTGTTGTCGCTAATTTTAGTCTGCTGTCGATATGAAAACTAATTTCGAGTCGAAAAGATCAAACGCGTACGAGTTAGATTTATTTAAATCACAAATGTTATTCAGCATAACAGAAAAATAAACAAATTAAAATACAACGTGGTGATCTTGAACGCTCCCCCAGTGAGCAGTAGCAGGAGCCTTCTTCCGGTTAATGTTTTATTCATTTATTTTTTATTTTTTTCAGTTTTTAATCTTATTTCAAATATAACAGTTAATTGTACAAACAGATATATACTCCATTTTATGAAATTTGAAAATTATAATTTCAAAATCAAACATTACAAAATAAAGGAACATGCAACAAAAATTACTATAAACAACATGAAATTGTATTTTGTATAATTATAATATTTATTACTGTATAAATAATTGTTTAATTTTGTCAATAATGTAGAAAGTCTTAATAGTGACATTTGGTGTAATCTGAAGCACTCTGGCCTTATTGATGTGATATTTGCCAACAAGACCGAATAAAGTGTTTTTCACTATATCCCAAAATTATAATAAATGTTAGCCTATATCCATATTTGATGATTGGATTTATACAGTCTGCGATGCTTCCTCATAAATACTAATTACGAATAAAGTAAGGTAAGTGTTATTCAACATTATTCACAAACATTACCCTGCTGGTCATGCAGAAATACATGTATATAAAAAGAAACATAAACATAAACTGCTCTTTCTGTGATGACTGAAACTGATATTTTTGCATTGTTCTCACCTCAAGAAATTCTGGCAAGAACCTTGTGGATTTGTCATTGATCATATCTTCAAAGACCTTAAATTATTATAGGGGAATGTGGAGTCTGGTTTCTTAAAACGTCCCAAAAAATAAAGGCATGTTTTTGTTTTAAAAAAAATGACAACGATTTTGCCAAAAAAGTAAAAATAGATAAATGTGAGTTTAGCAATTTAAAACATATATCTTGTGTAGTATTCTTGAAGGGTGTTGAGCAAAATGTGACACTGCTTAATTAAATAATTTTATAGTTTAAATAAACTATAATTCAACTAACAAAAAACAGCAATCAAGGCACTTTGTATCTATATGTTTAATAATATTTTTGACAAGTGTGATTATACCCCGAGCTCTTTTGTATTTGTTCAATATTATCCTCTGTATAGTGAATCTGTATTACACTCTTTTATTTAATTATTTTATTATTTTATTTTTATTTCTAAATTCAATTTTGATTTTAAACGTTATTATTTTCATTAATTGATTTTTTTTAATGAAACATTGTTATCTTACTTTTTTTATACCATTTTTTACTTTTTAATTTCATTATTATTATTATTATTATTATTATTATTATTATTATTATTATTTTCTCATTTGACGCTGGTCTTGGATTTTGTTAAATAATTAATAAAATGAGAATTTAAAAAGAAAAAGGAAAAAAAAAAGAAAAAGGTTGGGAACAGGAAGTAGTTTACAGCAGCGGCCGGATGTTCACTGTGGAGACAGGAACAACAAAGAAGAGAAAGCGCCCGGGTTTTAAACCTACTCGAGAACACACCAGAACACAAAACCAAGGAAATTAGCTGTCGTTCACAGTAGGTGAGTTTAATTATTTAAAACCCGCTTTTCATGAAATATATTTTGTTTGAGCTGTATAAGTTATGAAGCGTTTGAGCCTCCCAGCGCGGCCGCTGCCTGCTTTGCCGTTATGGCATTATTGGCTAACTAGCCGTTTTAGCCACTCGCTAATGATGAAATAACTCTATGAGTAGTGGAGACAGTCAGATAATTAACGCTACGGCCTGTTAGCTTTGAAGTAATTACCAAGTAACGTTAGCAAGAAGTCTTATTTAGCTGTCAGCAGTTCACTAGGTAACGTAATAATTAATTATTTCCCGGCGTTTAATCAGTACCGTGAACGTTACATCCCCACTGGAGGTGATGGTGAAAAATCTTACTTTAGGTCAGAGCTTGTCATTTTTATGTTAACAGGATGATGCATAAGGGTCTTTTTATGCACCATATAATCACCATAGGTGCTTGCATATTTATTAAAGGGCAGATTTGGATATATTTAAGTCAGTATTTTAGATATAGGCTATTACTTGCAACCAGTGGTATAGTGGTAGTTGATGCGGTGAGTGTGCTACTAGGTAGATGGGTGGGTTACAGAGGAAGAAGGGTGTGTACTCTTCTATGTATTCCAGTGGCTTTTTGGCTAGTAGGTGGCTATACTGTGAACAGCCAGAAAAAGAGGTGAATATACCCCATATACCTGTGTATACCCTCCACTACACCACTGCTTACAAGTGTACATGTACATTGAAAGAGCTCCTGTTCATACTGGTTGTGAATTGGTCTCCTCCTAGAGGTGGGAGACAAGACCCACAGCTCTTGTTCTGTGCAAACATGTATTTTAAAGTTCAGCCAAAGCTAATGTTAGTCTCCAGCAGCAATTGTCTTTTTAGGATAAAATTCCCACCTCGTGTTCCCGTCCCTCCGCTGCAGCTCAGCAAGGAAACGCTGTGTGGCGAAAACACAAAGAGGAAATTTCATATCAGAAAATAACTTTTGGAAATACCCTGTTGGAACCTGATAATGTCAGCTGGGTGGGTGGTCTTTAAAATGCATATCTGCACAGAATGAGGACTGTGGATTGTCACACTTGAAATTAATCACCTTGCAGGCAGTATGGACATGAGGAATGATCACAACTCTTTGAATGTACATACAGGTACTTTTTGGGGGATCTTAAATCTTGTATGTTTAAAATATAAGAGCATATCAGGGAATTAAGGTGTGTGAACCTGTCTTTTATGTGACTGCTGAAGACAGATTGATGACAGTGTGATTGACAGGTTATGGTGGATTATTATAATTAGACCTCTGCTCTTTTTTGTATCTAACATCAGTATAAATTCTTGTGACAACAACACCACTTTTACAATGATAAGCTCCAGAATTAGATGCCCTCTCTGTGTTTTGTGGGTTTTTTAAATCACTTGCAAGTCATTTTCAAACCTCAAATTTGCCTCCCGGGGATCAACACTCTGTACACCTTACGACACCCTTGTGTTGTCACTGATTAACCTTTTATTGCATTTATTTCGTGTGATACAAACTGAATATTGTCTCCTGTTCTCTGTCACCAGGGCAAAAGAATTTGGTTTGCATGTGAGGACAAGCGTCTGCCGAGCCAACCATGGCGAACAATGCAGAGGATATTGAAAACAATATGGTCAGTATAAAAGAATGTGTCGCAGTAGCTCTAACACTCAATCTGTATCTCTGTCCGTGTTAATGTATTGGGTAATGATTACCTCACAGTGTTAGCTGAGTGCAACGTAGTGTTTCCCTGGTGAGTCAGTGAGGAAAGAGTTGTCAGTTTCCCAGTCAGGTTGTGACGCCACACAGTGTGGAGGAGTCTTATTACCCTGGTTTCATCCGGCCTTTCATACAGTAAATGGTGATCATGGATGATTATGTCTTGATAAGGAAAAATGTTAGCCTCTGAATTAGGAACATAAATGCCAGTGTGGCACTTTGCTGACTGCATTACAGTAAATAAAGGTGTGGCCTCTCTGGCCCAGGTAAGAAGTCAAAGTCCCCTCTACTTTCACGGTCAACCAAGCAACCATAAGCCTTGTTTAGCCCATAACAGCTGTTCATTTACATTACAACAGCATTTCTCTGTTTTTGGCTCGACAACAAAACATTTAATTTATGTCTTAAACGGCATATCATGGTCAGAGTGTCAGCCATGTAATCAATGAGGTCAGACAGCTCAGTCAGGCCAGAATGGCTAGTGGAAGTTTTTAACAAACATTTTGATTTACTGGCACAGTATTACAACCCTGCAAAGTAACTGGTACAGTAGAGAAGTCCGAATCTCTTGTGTCCTTGGGACCAGCTTTGGCCTTATTCCCAGGACTGAGAAACAATGTGGTGTACCTCTCAGTGAGGTCATTTTGTACAGTTAAAGAGCTGAGGCAGCTTTCACTGCTCAGCACAGTCTGTAGAGATGCCTCCTGTCTTCATTTCTGTGTACCTGGTGAGATTGCCTCACGTCTGGGCCGCCACATGTCTTGACTCGCCTCTCAGCCCGGCAGTTTTAGTTCACACAGCCTCCTTGATTTGTCTTTTTATTTTGTCCTGACGGGACAGATCCGCTGGGGGAGTGGGAATGAGCGCAGCGTTGTTATCCTTGGAGAAACTGGTCTAGTGGGTGTTAATGTTCCAGTTAAGGTCTGAACAGCAAACATGTACGGCCTGATAACACTTTGCTGTAGTGTTTGAGCAGTTTCTAGGCAATTTTGCCTATAAAAACAAATTAAACGCTTGAGTTAAGAGTATCTGATCTGATAATAGGATTTCTTGTTGACATGCACTGTATGTTGATCCATAACTTGTACAGAGAGTTAAATTTGGACTATTTATCTGAGGTCAGATTTTCTCAAGCTCACATGGTCTAAAGATAGAATTTATCGACAAGATTGAGTTAAGGGTTTAAGGGACCAACCATGAACCACTGTGTCTCTGTTTTGACTCTGGGGCATGTGTCATAAAAGCAAGCACTCCAAGTACTGCTTACATGCAGAGCATAAATTTCGGCAGCATCACGCCTCACAAAGGTTGATTGCTAAATTAAGTATGGTTTTTGTTTTGAATTGTGAAACTTGTGTAAATGAGAGAAACAAGAAGTGATCTTGTTTTGCAAGTCACAGTGTGCGGTTTTGCAATTTTGGTGGCTGGGGACCTTTTGTTGCACGTCATTCCTGATCTCTCACCTACAATTTCCTGTTATGTCCTTATTGTTGACTCTCAAAGGAAAGCATTAAATGGCACCCACCCAAAAAAGTATTGATTATTTTTCTGGCATTTTAAGGCTGTACCAAATGTCAAATTTATTTTTAACATTTGAAGCTTCTATTGAGGTT